TGCCTTGAAATCTTTCCCCTGTTTTCAGCCCAGAAAGTATTGATCAGGTTAATTAGATTAATTAGAGCATTATTCCTCTAAAATATGTGTAGAATATTGTCTGCACTAGAAAATTCTGTTGTTTGTGTGAATGGTATAATTGCATATTGCCTACAATACAGAAAAAATGTAGAGTATGTTTACAGCCCTTTGTTACAGTCTGGTATGGACAGACCAGTCCTTGTGTATGCAGATTTCCCTGGCTCTATCAAATAGCACATCTGCAAACATACTTGTTAAGTGTTTGCTTAGCTGTGCAGAGTAAAGGTAATGGTGACACGTAGCATCTTCCTCTTCCTCCACCAAGAAAGTGCCCAATGCTGCCCCAAATTTTTATCCATTTCAAATTTAGACTCCCAAGGTAGCTCTCCTAACATGGAGTAATATACATTGATTCTTCACAAATTCACTGAGAAACTGGAAATGCTTTATTTTCCTATGATTAGCTTGAACTTAGAGTAGAGTGGCACCTCCAAAAGACATTACTGAAAATAAGCATAATGGCAGACAGATTTTTAGTAGGGTTTCTGGAAGATAATACAGCTATTTTTTTTTCACATTTTGGGTGACTATTTGAAAAAGTAGAGAAAAGTACCCTGTGCTGCTTTGCATGAAAGTTGTAAAGATAAGACATTGAGGCAAACTGTGACAGAATCAGACAGAAAGCTGATTCTGTTTTTGTAAATGTTCCCTGTAAATACACATATTTCTTCAAGTACATTTGTCTGAGGACTAGATGTACAACACATATATAAAATATGACACATTTAAACAATTCTGTGAAAGACAATGAAATCTCTCCATTAATATTAGTTACATCTTTTTAATGTTTTGTTTATTATCAGTCTTAAATTGAATGTGCCTACAAGGTCTTTCCCCAACTCCTCAGTGAAACATTATGATACCAGAAATTTAATAGTGGCGTCTTATTTTCAGATCATTTAACCAAATATTTCATTTCAATGAGTTACAGTTTTTCATACTGATGAAGAATAATTGCAATATATCTGCATGGTGAAATTGCAGAAATCAGGACTGAAAATCCTATATAGCTCATCATGACATGAACCAGTTTTATTTTTTGTCCATCACATACACCACACAGTGGGACCCCAGTCAGACTCCAAGAACACAGAACACAGAAATGAATAAATAATGGTAACACTGATAATTCTCAGCTTCACCTGTACAGGAACCAAGACAGGCTTCTTTTTCTCCCCTTGGAAAGGGCTGTAGGGTTGTGCATCTTCCCACATCCAGAAGTTTCAGAATAATTTATGCTGCATCGTTTTAGAAGCAACAGAGATTTCCCTGGACTAATGGCAATCTTTATTTTATTTTATTTTATTTTATTTTATTTTATTTTATTTTATTTTATTTTATTTTATTTTATTTTATTTTATTTTATTTTATTTTATTTTATTTTATTTTATTTTTTTCCCTTTCATTGTGGTTGACTAAATACTAAACTATATGAAAATCCTCTGATAGAAATGTAGAAAAGGTCACATAACTAAAACCCCTGATACTTCTCAAGTGTTCAAGTGGCCAGAAGCTGATTTAAGTAGTCCACACAAATTTGATAATGATCATTATTATCAGGTAACTAGAGGACTACTGGGGCAAAGAAGATCCAAATGTGCCACCTCTCCTCTCTCCTCTGGCTAAAGCTGTTAAGATCTCTGCAAGAAAGAGGGACCTACCAGGTCAAGGTCATTAACAGATCTTCCTGTTTCTGGTTAGCCTGACCACAGCCTTAGCTGACTTGGGATGTGTCATGAGGCATCAGCAGAGCAGCCTGGGATAGTGACTCAGACAGGACAAAGTTTTCATATAAATAGTGCTAATGCTGAGAGAAATGGCAACAAGGTTGTGGGTTTAACTGTACAGCATGTGATGGTGAGGCATTAGCAATAATAGCAAACAGCATGGTGTGAACATCAGTCCTTCAGCGGCAACAATGACAGCAATTAATCCTTTTGTTCTGTAACTCTTGGGGTCTCCGGCTCCTTCTGTGAAGTCCTCAAGGAATATGCCCATAAAAAAATGAGAAAATAATCTATGAAGTGTTATGTAATAAAAAGGAAGGTGTTGCTCATCTTCCCCATTTTATCTTCAGGATATGTCTCTGTTTTCCTCAACTTTATTTGAGAATAAATTATTTGAATGACAGATTTTCAGCTAGATTTCTTATTCATGTGGCAATTTTACTGGAATTGCAGTGCTTTTGTGCTTCATTGTCTTCCAGTGTTGTTAAAGAGCACCTAAAGCAGCTAAGCCAGAGATGCTCTGCTGTACCTTCTAATGCTTATGCTGTTTCCAGACTACTGCAGGAAGCCAACACTTTCTCCCTGTTTCATCAGGGAGATGAAACAGTCATATACCAAATCTGAACATATTCTTCCCACAATGATTTCTCTAGGAAACAGAACTATTTCTTAGTCTTATGCCATGTTTTATTTTTTGGCTCGCTGGCTATATTCTGGAGTTACTGTTTTCTATCGACTACTGGACCATTACCATTTTATATAAACCCCATATAAGAATTTATTAGATAAATCATATACATTCTTCACAAGGTTCAGGCTGACCACACTATTACAATTTTAATATAATGATATTTATTTTGCTATCAGTTAAGTAAAAGATTTGATAAGCATGTGAAACAATCTCTTGCATTACTGAAGCAAAAGGTTTTATATCAATAATCAGTCCTTGCATTCAGGGAGCTAATATGTAAATCCTTTCCAAGATCTTATGTGCAGGCTTGTCAGAGAGATAAAAGTATATATTAATGAGGGACTGATTTTTTTCCTTGACATTTTTCTGGCAAACCCAAAGAAATAAGTATTACTGCAGATGGATAAAAGCGACAAACTGAGGAGAAGAGACCAGTCTTACACTTACGTGTTGTCTATTCAGATCACGATTTCTTCCCTGTGTATAAATTATTCTTTTAAAGTGAATCTGTCATCCTCAGGCTGTGTTTTGTTGCCTCCTAATTACTGCTTCTTTCCTCCTTTCCTCTTCCCCCACTATACAACCACTGATTTATCAAATGCTTAACTATATTTGGCAGGAAGAATATAGATCTAAGGTAGCTGAGTGAAGAGGCAAAGTTTCTTCATAGTATTATTTAATGAATCAAACACAAAGTGTATACACATTTTGGCAGGTACACCCACTATATTGACTGTGTACTGCTGCTTGTTGTCACATGAGCCAGCTGCCAAGAAAGTCATGTTTTATTTATCCACTGAATCCAGAAATCTCATCTTTGGGAAATTATGTATATGTCTTCTTCCAATCACCATGGCAGTGAATGTCTTGATATCAGCAAAGACATAAAGAAGTACCTTCCTTGTGTACTTTTTGATAAAGACAAACCCCACAAAGCTGTATGCTCAACTGTTAGAGCCTTGCAAGATTTCGATTCAGAGGTGTTAGTCTCAGCAAATTCTGGGTGTGCTGAGACTGTCTCAGTTCTTCTTGTAAAAACTGTTAGAGGCAAATACTCTATTTATATTTTATACTCAATTTCCCATTTTGCCATTGTAGCTCATTCAACCAGGAGCTGAAAATCTTTGTGAGCCAAATGAATGGCTGTGAGTGGTGTCATCTTCCTTGCACAGGAGATTAATATAAAGTTTGCAGATGGCATGAGATGTCCACGATCAAAAAAAGAGCACAAAATAAAATCAAGATTCAAGAATGACCCTTTTTGTCTTTGTAGGATTTTTATAACCTTATCCCTTTCATTGGGAAAATAAATAAATAAATGAAGTATGGACATTACAGTCCATACTGACTATGGAACATTTTCTTACTTTTCAAAGCAGAAGTTTCACTTTCTACACAGCCTTAATAAAAGGTACATGTACTATAAAATACTTAAGTTTTAACAGCCAATTCAAGGTTGTGCTCCTAAAAACTCTTAAACAATGTAAATGTAATCTACTGCATTCTTGGGATGCAGTAGATTTGTTTCCAATATGATTAATAAATCCCTTTCTGTCTGAGGAAATGAAAAAGAGAGTTAGGAGATTTTGATTTTTATGTATTGGAAAACAGGACAGTTGTAACTTCACTTATTTGTTACACAGCTTCAATAAAAACATCAACAATACAAGTATATACAACATTTTTATGAAATAATGGCTAGTTGGGAGAGAAAAAGAAAAGGAAAACAAACAAACAAAACAGACTGTTCAATGCAATGCAAAAACTTCTTAAGGGTTTTGTACATGTTTGCTAAAGGAAACAACCAAGACATTTTCTGCTTCTCAACAGAGGCCTCTACTTGATTCAGTCATTTTATTTGCTGAAGAAAATAAATTCACTGACTCAGACATTTGAATTCCCAATCCGATGTCTTAACACATGCTTATGTGATATTTGACCATTTAACCATCCTCTCCTCATTTTAAACCCTTTGTTTTAAAAGTTATCTTATATTGATGCCGTCTCTCAGTTACTCAGGGTAATGCAGGCAAAATACAAATGAAGAAGGTGACTATTGATGGCTCAGCTGATTGAGATGTGCAGAAGTCTCTGGTAAGCAAAGCTTGGACCAGACCTTGCACCTGGAGCAAACAGAGTCCAGTGCAAGCATAGCCTTCCAGACACTGCTGGCTCATGTGAGACAAGCGTCAATGTCTCACTGCACACCAAATCTCCATCCTGAATCATCTGCCCTGGATCATCAAGAGTTGACTAAAAGTCCAGATCAGTAATAATTCCAGTTAGAAATCATACCAACATTTATCAGCTTGTGGTTGCACAGATGGTCACACAGGAAGTACTGGGAGAAATAAAGCTCAAATTTCTGAACCACAGATAGGTAACTGCAGAGTGCAGTACTACCACATACAAACACATTTAGGTATTCTCAAAATTACCTATTCATGGCAATACTTTTTCCCCAAGGAAGATAAATGTAGCAGGAGGTTTATTTATTTATTTATTTATTTGTTTGTTTATTTATTTATTTATTTTGCATTACTGGATACATATCAGGTATTTCTGTAATGAAAAATGTAGGAAAATATTATTTAAATAGAGATCCCTCTTCCTGCTACTAGAACATGTGTTTATTGAATACTTTAGATTATTATTCATTGAAGTTCACAAACAGCTCCTCTTCCTTCCATTCTTCAACTTTGTACAACTTTCTTCATTTTCACCTAAAGAAGGATGGACATATCAAAAAAAAAAAAAAAAAAAAAAAAAAGACTACAAATAGAACACTAAATACTATTTTCATTAAAGGCTATTTTTGAACAAGCAATGCACAAGTTAAAGCTGTCAGTAGAAAGCAAAATATTCTGTGCCACTATCTCAAAGGCAGTAGAGTTTTGAGTGAAAAAGAGCTGCTTTTGAGAAGCTTTACCATTTTGGGCCCCATTAGATTTCCTACATATCTGCATCTTGGCAGAAGCTGTATCTGTTTCTTTCATTTTGTCAGCACTAGCATATATGATGGACATTTCCAATGGAGCTAAAAGAGATGGAATTGTAAAAAGGAGATTCCTACACTCCTGGAAGCAGCTGAGCAGCCCTGAGCAACAAGGAGCAGAAACAAGGCCTCTTGACAACAGAAGGAGACACTTATGCCCCAGCAGCAAACGCTGGAGCACTTTGAAAACATTCTGCATTGAGAAACACTGTTTGTAGGATTTATGAGACAAGCCGAAATGTGGTTATGTTTTTTTTTTTTTTTTTTTTTTTTTTTAAACACACCTTGTCACTCTGAGTTTTCTCCCTTTTAAAATATTTGACTTTATGTTCTAGTAAGACTTAAGTTATCAGTATGAACACTTCTTGTCTTTTTGTGTCTTTTCACAGTAAGAACAAGTGTGTCCTGATACTGCGTTTCTTTGGTCTCAGACCACATGCAGCAGAACTGCTGTGGTGGGACTGAGGATGGTTGTAAATTATTCCTTACACTACAGACTTCCCAGTAACTTGGAAAAAAAAAAAAGAAAAAGTTAAGGACTTTGTTCTAACTTTGGATTTCTTCTGTTTTCTTGAATGTAACTTTCTTTTGTTTTCTTTAAGATTTACTCCTTAATTTTAGGAATTTCAATAAATTGTCCTTATAATATTAGGATATCACTCTAGTCAGCCATGCTCTGACCATATAGGAAAAGATTTTATTCTCAGGATCAGTAAAATAATCTTATCAATTACATAATAACTATAACATCATATTGCACTCTGGCAAATTGTGTTTTACTGTTTAGCTTAGTTTTATGCAGAGGACATATAGCTTTGGCCTGTGCTCTGGTTTTGTGAGGCTGATAAGAATGTCTTGCCAGAGGACTGTTTGCTGCACAAGCAAAAAACATCACAATTACATTACTATCTTTGTAATGCATTAAGAATTATAATGAAACCACACAGCAACAAAGTTTCTATCTCTGCACAAAGAAATCTTTGTTTTATATAGTTTGTTGTACAAACAGGTATGAAGTTGTACAAAGGTATGAAATTAAACATGCTGACATCTCCATCTTAGATGTTTCCTTCTGATTATTACAGCTACTCTTTATTTATAATTCCAGTAAAACTCAACTGCCAGTAATATCAATGGACTATTATTACCTCTGAGTTGGTTTATAGGATTTTGAGATAGCATATCCCACTGTTCTGGATTTTTATCATGATGAATGATGGTATTAGTAAACAAAGAAGATGTCCTCTAATGCAGGGAGTTCATTCTGGACATGGCTGGGTAGCAAGAAAGAGGAATTTAAGAACAGAATTAACATCATGTTAATCATGTTTCACAATAAATACATATATTTGCAAAGAAAATCTGTACAAACTGTACTTCACTAGACTAATAAATACATGTATTTATTTCTGTTGTGCCGCAGTGTACCCCACTTTCAATGCCTCTGCACAATGCTAGTTCTAAAGTGCTATGTCAGCATAATTTGGAGTCTGAGTTTTCAGATACTATTAAGTTCTCCTTTGCTCTTCATCATATGCTCATTGTTTAGGTTTTCTGACACCCTATTTTGAGTAAGGTATTTTATGTACTGTTTAGATTTCCACCATGAATTTCCAGCAGAGGGCAATCTTGTTCCTACGTTGGTGGAACATTTGAGAAATAAACCTACTAGTAAACTGCTGTTCCTTCTGCAGTTCAAAAGGGGGATTAATCCAAGGACATGGACTATGCAATTTTTTTCCTTGTCGTTTACTTAATAAATTTTCAGACACTTCTGGAACTTATCTTAACTTCTCAAAGAATATTTTAGAAACTGCACAAAAATTACATCTGTATGGGCCTTGAGCTGTCATCTATATTACTTTTGTTGTTTTGTTTTTCCAAGACAGGATTGACTACATTATAAAAAACCTTGATTAATATATATTTTTAGAATCTTTAATGTGTGTACATGTGTTACCCAACTGGAATGGTTCTTAGCTGTCCTCATCAATAGAAACACATTTTGAATTTTAAATCTGAATTTCCTTTGCTTTATTTTAAACCCGGTACTTTTTTACCTGATCTGTAGCAGACATAGAAACTTTATTTGCAGCAACAGTTCATTTAATAGAAGTGGGAGAATTGCTTTTAATTGCTGTAGAAAAGGATCTAGTGATAGCACAAGATGACATTTCTGACATTCTGACAGCCTAACTATCTTGTTTTATTAGTTCTTGTGTCCCACACAGTCTGCCTTTCAGCTTTTTTATCCCCCTCCCCCTTCTGCCCCAGCAAATTCTGTTTCCTACACCTATCTTCATCTGGTTGCTTTCTGGATGCCACAGTTACCTGAATCACCTTGTACTGTAGACAATTATTCTCTCCGTCTTATCACAAGTGCTGTGTGACCTTTCTTAGCGTTTGCCATGACTAAGATCACAGCTGGCTGCTTTCACAAAGCAAGTGATTCGCCCACCCAGCTGAATCATGGGCTGCCTACAAATGATTAATGAGCGGCTGGTTTGCTAATACAATTAGTGACAACGATAAGGAAGATAGTAATGTCAACACTTGTCAGTTACAGGGAAATTGTTTTTTTCTGAACTCAGCATGACAACAGCAGCACAGGAGTTGGCTTCTACTGTCAGCCTCAGCCTCAAGTTAAGTCTTAGAGTTCCTAGAGCCAGTATAAAATCTTCGGTACTTCAAGTCAGTTGAGACCTTCTGTGCTGGGAAAAAGTGGTGGCTGTTTGGGTGTAGGGTATTTTCCCTTTCTACACACTGCTTGGGATGCACGAGGAAGAATAGCTGCAGCCTCTCCAGCTTACATCTGTACATTTAAAGGGGGCTTACAAAAAAGATGGAGAGTGACTTTTTTCATAGGCAGCTAGTGATAAGACAAAAGGGAATGGTTTTAATCTAAGGGAGATGTGGTTTAGATTTTATTTTAGGGGGAAGTTCTTTACTCAGAAGTTGTTGAGACAGGTTGCCCAGAGAAGCTGTAGATGCCCCATCCCAAAAGGTGTTCAGGATCAGGTTGGATGAGGCTTTGAGCAACCTGGTCTAGTAGGAGGTGTCAACCTGTGGCAGGGAGGCTGGAACTAGATCATCTTTAAGGTCCCTTCCAACCCAAGTCATGCTACTATTCTGTGATTTACTATAGCTGCAGGAAGATTCTATGAATTTGTTAAAATTTTGACAGATCTTGGCTACTGCTGTTTGGTTTTGCACAAATTGGACTAAGTTACAAACATGCACCGTTGATTGTGATGAATCTCACTTCAAAATTCACCAAGACTCCAGTAAAACAGTATCTCAACCATTCTTACTAGTCAGGTTACTAGATTTGTCATTCATAAGTAAGTGCAATTCATACCTAAATACACTAGCTGGTGCTCAACGCTAAGCTGTGCAATAGCCAGGAATGTATTCCCATTCTGATTTGTAAATCTTTACACTGTTTTTTGTCTCTGCCAGTTGTCAAGGTCTTTCACCTCAAGGGGCAAAGCAGTGCGTGTTTGTATAAGCATGTGTGCATGTAGGGGAACTGCTTACTTATTTGGACAAGTTTTGAGTCACTGGCATGTGGCATGGCATAAAGGAAAGAGTTCATAAAAATGTGAGATGGAAAGAATTTAAATGGAACAAAATTTAGAATTCTCCTGTTTAGATGGAAAATATAAAAATATCTCATTACCACCATACAACATGGTAGTATGTTCTGATACTTTTCATGTTTGTCACTTCTCTGTCACTTCTGAGGGACAGAGAAGAACCAAGAAACATTGACACTTTACTAAGCAACAAGAAAATACCTGTGAATTGTCTCAGAGAAATTAGGGAGGGCTCCTCTAAAAAGGTGATGCAGCCATTAACTCAGCTGAAGTGTCTCTATACCAATGCACGTATAATGGAAAATGAGCAGGAGTTGGAAACCACAGCATGCTCACAAAACCATGACCTAATTGGTATCACAGAAGTGTGGTGGGACAAATCACACAACTGCAGCACTGTAATTGAGGGCTACAAGCTTTTCATAACAGAGAGGAAAGGAGAGATAAGGATGTTTCCCCCTATGTTAAGGAGTGGATACATTGCAAAGAGCTACCTCAGAAACAACCACAAACAGGTTGACAGCCTCGGAGTAAAAGTTAAGGACTGGACCAAAAAGGACTCTGTATGGTTGGGGTATATTACAGGCTGCCTGATCAAGGGAACCCTGTTGCTGAGGCCTTCCTGCTTCAGCTACAAGAAGCACGATGCTCACACACTCTCATCCTGATGGGGGATTTCAGACACCTGGATGTCTGCTGGGAAAGCAGCGTAGCAGGCTGCAAGCAATCCAGAAAACTCCTGGAGTGTGTTGAGGATAGCTTACTGGGCCAGAAATTCACAAACCGATCAGAGGAGAAGTGTTACTGGACGCAGTGCTCACCAGTGCAAATAAAGTCATGAAAGAGTTTAAGACTGGTGGCTGTCTGGGCTGCAGCACCTACCCCCTGGTTGAATATTTGATCTCAAGGAATATATACCTGGCAAAGAGCAAAGTCAGTGCTCTCAACTTCTAAAGAGAGAACTACCACATGCTTTAGGAATAGTGAATGAGAAATTGATGATGGATTCAAAGAATAACAGGAAAGAATTCTGTAGTTACATGGGTCAAAAAAGAAAGGCCAAGGAGACTGTACCCCTTCAGATAAATTAGAAAGGAGTAATGGTAACAATAGATGTGGAGGAGGCTGAGGTGCTCAACAAATACTTTGTGTCTTGCCATTCTTCAATGGCAGTCAGGCATCTCATGTCACTGCATCAACAGAGAGGCCAGCAGGTTGAAGAAGGGGATTGTCCCCCTCTGCTCTGCATCTTGTGAGGCCTCACTTGGAGTACTACATACAGATCTGGGGCCCCCAGCACAAGGATGTGGACCTGCTCTAGCAGAGCAGGAAGGCCATGAAGTTGATCAGAGAGCTGGGGCACCTCTTCTGTGAAGACAGCCTGAGAAAGCTGGGGATGTTCAGCTTGGAAAAGAGAGAGCTCTGGGGATACCTCACTGTAGTCTTCTGATACTTAAAGGGGGCTTAGATGGAGAGTGTTTTTATACATGCAGATAGTGATAGGACAAAGGAGAATGGTTTTAAACTAAAAGAGGAGAAATTTATGTTAGATATCGGGAAGAAATTCTTTACTCAGAGCACCCTCTGAGTACCAGCAAAGTATTGGACCAGGTTTCCCAGAGAGGTTGTGGATGCTCTGTCACTAAAGGTGTTTAAAGCCAGTTGGTCGGGGTTCTGGATAACTTGATCAACATGGAGCCAACATGGGATCCCTGCCAATGTTGGGGATGTTGGAACTAGATGATCTTTGAGGTCCCTTCCAACCCAAGCCATTCTATGATTCTATGATTCTACGATTCTATGATTCTATGATTCTATAATTTCTTACAGAGTTGAAATCAAGCAGCTTGTATGTGATATGTTCTGTAAACAAGCTTGCTGATGTCCCCGTAAAATAAAGTTTGCATGTCGTATAAAATGCCTCATCCTAGTTTTAAGTAGGTTCAAGAAAAAGCAAATGGGAAAACTACTCTCAGTTTTTGAAGTAAATAGGAAGGATCTTGCACTAACAGAGTATGAGTAAAGCATCTCTATAAAAACCTGAGTTTGGATCAGAACAATGCCATACTTGACTGACAAACTACCTTACCATGTATCATAACTTTGAGATAAAGCTACTTAATTATTTCAGCTTTAATAAAGCAACAACAACATCAAAATATTAATAGCCCCAAAACATAAAGTAGATTGCAATATTTGTAAGTCATCTTCTAGAAATTAATGATCTACTAGACATCTACTAGATATCAATTGTATAGGCATCATCTCACTGTAGGGGTGTTTTCTACGTCCTTGTGCTTAGTGACAGCATGAGGAGAACAGATGTTAAGAAGGCTGGCTGGTTCTTTATTAGTTATTGTTGGCAATGATGCAGTTCAGATTCAAGTCATACGTACACAGCCTGGCTAAATGATGCTTTTCTAGTTCTCTGTTCCCTGCATACAATTCTTTTTGCTCTCTCTCCCCACCCCCATCATGATTTTTACCCTTGGAAGCTCTCACTGAAAATGCTATTTTCATGATTTTGAAAGATACTACTTAAACCTTCATGTATTTGTCCAGTTGAAAAATTTGCAAATGTGTATTTCCTTGCAGGGTAAGGAAAATCTTATGTCAGCCTTAACTTTTCACACTGGTTAATAGATCATAAGGCTATAGGAAATATGCAAGTCCAGGGGATTTCCTGAGTTCAAGGAGCAGCATGTTGCTCCAGCCTTTATGCAGACAGAGATAATGACAAGAGAAAATTATTCTTGGGAAAATTCTTACATTTTAGTCAAGCAAAATCCTCAATGCAAATGTGTTTTAAATTCAAAGGGATGTCTTGCTATCTGTTGTGGTTCATGAAAATGAAAGGAAAATGAAAGCCTCACAGAAATAAGATATTGACCTGAGTACACATGCAAGGATCCTGTTAAGCTCCATGGTAGAGGCAGGATCCTCCATCATGAAAAGAAAATTTATTTCCTGAAGAGTTTGGCTGATCCAGGGACTTACAAGTCAAAGTAGGGATTATGTTAATTTTTGGTGAGGTATACCCCAAGGTATACCTTCTCAGAAGATTTACAGATTGGTATAAGCCCTCTTTGGCTGGCCTTGCTACTGATGCCCAAATTGGATGGAAAGAACTTGTTTCAGGGCCATAACTAGGAAAAGTACCTTATCAGCCAGTCTATTATTTTTACTAATAACATGTCCAAATTTCTTGTGTGGTTCTACAGAGTGTTAGACTGTCATCTTGACAGGATGTATACTATATAATAACACTTCATACATACATCTCATGGAATTTTATAAAAAGGCTTAAAGCCAGCTACAACAACCAAGAAAAAAACTTTGCATAGAAAAATCTTGCACTGTATAGAAATGGAAAAGGAAAAAGGAAAAAAAAAAAAAGAGAGAAAAAAAAAAAGCCTTGCAAATCTGTAGTACTGCCTTTGATTCTGCATGTAGAAATTCATGAGGAGAGAACAGAAGGAATTCAGGAGTTGCCCAATATGGACAAAAGTTGGGCTGATAGATACATGTTAGCTTGGCATTCAGATCAAGGGTAACCTCTAGGAGACATGGGAGTTAATGTGGGTTCCAAACCTTCCACATTTTGACATGGACTTGTTGGAAGGACCACAGATAAGAAAAGTGATGTAGCTCAGATATTTAATTGTTAAACATGCAGCAGGCTTGTGTTATGTTTATTTCTTTATATCCTTTTATTTCTGGCTTTGTACCTCAAAGTCTGTCTTTTCTTGTTCTTAAAACAAAACAAAAAACAAAACAAAACAAACCAAACAAAAAAAAACTTTATTCTTCATCTCAGCTGGTATTAGAGGTCAGGTGTTATGGGTCAAAGTTGGTAAAATTGGTGAGATGATGTACCCAATCTTTTCAATAGTAACATAAGCAAATGAAGTGGAAAGTGTGAGCAGCCTGAGAAACATACATCTCAAAACATATTTAGGGGACAAGCACCAAAGGAACTATTGTCAGCATTCCTACCTCATCCCCCCCTTTTTTTCTCCTTTTTCTTCTAAAAAGCAGCTGACAGAATGACTTGCATAGCTCTCAGCAAGCTATAGGGTATTATAATGGCTCCATAGGAGATACATCCTGGTAGTATTGCTCTGACTTTCTTGAAAGGCTTGTTCTGTCCTGGCACTGCCCCGATTAAGGAAGAGAAAAACAACTCTGTGAAAGCCAGCTGTTCCCCTCAAAATCCCAGGTGCAGCAAGTCCCTCTCTGCCTTTGATCTTTTCCTCTGTTTTGTAGTATTTTCTCCAATGCACCTCAGGGCTGTGATCACTGGACGTTCTAAAGAGGAAATCAATGGGCATAGATTTACAATTCTTCAGTGTAAGTTTTTAGACCTGAATTACATTTCAGTGAAATTCATCCTCTGCAGGGAGTCAACAAAAAGTAACTTTGGCTTATTAGTGTGCCCCCACAGTTCCCACTGATGTCAGGGAGAGTCTGGGAACAAAAAGAATAAAGTACCTGTAACTCATGGGTCTAGTGATATTTCTATAATAGGAACCAGAAGGATTAAATGTGGGTACAAACTGAAATGAGAGCATATGGGGAACTGCATGGGGATAGCAATAATCAGTGTCAACCCAGCTGAGTTTCCCCAGGGAATAATTTGACCCTCTATTTTTGCATTCAAATACAGAGGTAGAAAAATAAAAGAATCAAAGAAGTTAAAGTAAATGAAGACATTATGAAAAGGGATAATTGTTTGTGCTGTACCTCCAGCACAGGGGAAGAGCACGTGGGAAGGACTGAAGAGCTACACTCGATACTTTTGTCAATTCCTTCATCTGCTTTTAACAGTGTGAAATGCCAATTTGATCATGCAGGTGGTGAAAATTATGCCTAGAGGGATGCAGGGACAAACTCTCACCATGGTGCACAGCAGCCCCAGAGTCAGGTATGCTGGCGCAGCTTGCTGTGTTTCTGCTTACACTGGAGGATGCTGAGTCCTATAGAGGACCCCTTCTCTACCTCCATGCTGAAGTCAAGATACCAAGCAGGAGTGGGGTTGCTAGGAAGCAGCACAGCTCCCTGTGCCTGGGGTATTCCTCGTCAGTCTCAAAATATAACAATGTATCTAGCATTCTAGTCAAGATGTGAAATAAATCAACCTAAGAAAGGGTTAGCTCTTGCTCTACTCATGGCCATGGAAGGATGGGAGTAGGGGCATTCATACAGAAGCTCAGGCCCTTGCACAGGGCTGCCATTAGGACAACTCTTGGGCTCTATTCACTGGAGGCTACCAAAATCTGTCTCTCTCTTCCTCCCAGTATGAGGAGGAATTTGCAGTAACAGAAGGTGTTAAACACATTAAAACATCATAATAGCCTGCTCCTGACCAAAAAAAAAAAAAAAAAAAAAAAAAAAGTGGCACACTAAGACCTGCTGTGTCTCTGAAGATGATTTGATGATTTTATAAAGGGCAGAATCATTATGCATTTATCAGAAGGCCACTGATGGTGACAGGGCTCTGATCTGTGGTCCAGAGTTGCAGTGCAGGATGCTGCTGCCTGTGGGTTCCTGCAGAAAGCAGACCAGACAATTGACCTTTGGCTGCAGAATACCCAATCAAGAGTTTCTTAGTTGTAAAAAATGAGGGCTTAAAGAAAAAAAATTGTATTTCGGGTCAAGTCTGGTCCACCTCTGATCTGAGGGACAATAAACTGTTCCTAACAGCAAGCTGTGCTCTGCAACAATATCCAAAGCTTTATGCCCCCAGACTTTACTTTATTCTGCCTTTTGCAAAGTGTAGTGGTCAGACACCTCTCTGAAAGTAGAAGTTATGAGCAAGTAACAATAGGATTCTATAGACATCCGAAATACCAGTGGCTTAATTAGAACTTAAATTTTCTGGGCCTCCTGAATTTTTCTCCATACCTTTCCTGAAAAATACAGAGCAAATAAAGTTAGGTAGGAAATTCACAATGATGTCAATAATACGTGATAATGTTACTCTGTCTTAAATCCTTCACTGAAGGGTGAAAAGAAGGTAGATAAGGAATTCCTTTCCTTATTCCTTTCCAATTACCTTTTTAACAGGAATGTTTCACAAACATCATAACATAACACAGACAACAACGCAAACAGAATAAATATTTCAAACATTTATATGGCACTTTTTCACTCATTTCCTCTTTGCTCCACTGGTAGTCAACACAGTTTCATCTTGTTTGTGATCCAATCCCTATTTGTATTTTTAGGAAATATATAAAGGTTTTGCATTCATTTGAGTCCTCATCCAGGATCAAAAAGATATGTCTAAATTTTTTAGTACACCAAAAAAAGCTGGTACTGAGTTGTAAATGACAAGTTTTCTGAAGCAACTAGCCTATTCTTAGAAATATATGAGGAAAAATTCTTATTCTTCTACCTGGTGAAAGCATGTGGGGGAGAAAATGATCCTAGTCATGCTTTTTTATTTTCTGATCTCTTAATGCTTGAAAACAAGTATGAAAGAGCTAGAAATGTACTTTTCCTAATGGCAGATTAATGCATCTTCAAATTAGTTGTGGGGGATGGGAAATATTTAAGGGACTTAGTATTGCTAACGGTTATCTCTGACCTAAATCATTTAGGATATGGTAATTCACATTAATTACTAAGAGGATTTAAAGTCTCTTTTACTCAGCAGTAAAAGGCTGGGACGTGTTCTCATGTTGTAATAAATACAAGGCTTAATCCATTAAGAACATGGCAGAAGCTACATCTCAGTTGTAATAGGTTAGTTAGCAAACACGTACATGTAGAATATAAATATCTATAAAAAAGTCATCAAGTCTTCATTAATCCATACTTTATAGTGTTCACAGAAACAAATGTTTGGTGGTTTTACAGCACACCTTGGTGCTAGTGGGTGGCCATTTCTGAGACAGACTACAATTTTTCCTACCAGAGACTGGTAGGAAATGCAGTCTACTTTCTGAATGTTGTTGAATTAAGCAAATTAAAGAAAAAAAATACCATATAGCACAGAAAAAGGAGGATGCTGATCTCTTCAGAAAGGGTTCAGGGGAGGGCCACCCACTAGCACCAAGGTGTGCTTGTTCAGCCCAGAGTAGAGAAGGCTCTGGGGTGACCTTATTGCAGCTTTTCAATACTTAAAGGGGGATTATAAAAAAGACAGAACAACTTTTTGCTCAATCAGATAATGACAGGACGAGGAGAAAAGGTCTTAAATTAAAAGAGGGGAGATTTACATTACAGGTTAGGAGGAAGCTACTCACAATGATGGTGGCGAGGCACTGGAACAGGTTGCCCAGAGAGGTTGTGGATGCCCCATCCCTGGAGGTGTTCAAGACCAGGTTAGATGATGAGGCCCTGAGCAACCTAGATCTAGTGGGTGGTGTCCCTGCCTAGATGGAAGGGGGTTGGAACTAGATGATCTTTAAGGTCCCTTCCAACCCAAGACATTCTATGATTTTATGACACTATGACAGTATGACTTGCTGTGTTTATGCTGTAAGGTTCATGTGTTAGACACAAAAATCTTAGGGAGTGCTCATCTTTTAAGGAGGCTGCCATATTCAAATCACCTTCAAGCAGGGATATTTTTTCAGGACTAATGAATTAACTCTGCTGTGTATTTTTGCTGTATTTCAGAACAGATAACAATCGCCTTCACAGTGTCCATGGTGATTGGACTGGTGATTGGAGGGATAATCTGGGCCTTGTTCACTTGTTTGTCCCGTCGCAGAGCTAGTGCTCACATTTCCCAGGGGAGCTCTTCAGCTTTCAGTCGTCGGTCCAGACCTGCCTCCCACAGCCAAACTACTGGCAGGACTGGATTTTACCGTAACAGCAGCTGTGAACGTCGGAGCAACCTCAGCCTGGCCAGCCTCACATTCCAGCGGCAAGCCTCCTTGGAGCAAGCCAACTCGTTCCCTAGGAAGTCAAGCTTCCGTGGGTCCACCTTCCACCCTTTTCTGCAGTGCCCTCCCCTCCCTGTGGAGACGAACAGTCAACTGATCACCCTCACTCCCACCAACACAACCACAACCTTTGTGGGAAGCACCACCAACAGCTTAAGTCGACCTGAATTCCACTGGTCTAACAACAGCCTCCGCATCTGCCACTCCACACAAACCCCTCCTCCTGCCTATGAAACCATCATAAAAGCATTCCCGGACTCTTGAGCCAGGTCCTTGTTGCAAATACACATGGACATTTTAGGAAGAACCACAAATGTCTCATTTTTTGTGCATGCTGAAGATCTCTAAGAAGTCTCCAGCTGCTCTGACACATTGCAGAGGGGACGTACATTGCCAGGAGGCGGGTAGTGCTGATTTCTTAGAGCACTATGTCCCACTGTCCAAGGAATCACTCATCTTTGCGCTGCCAGCTCTGATTTACTGCCTTACAACATGCTTACATATTTCTATCTCTGTAATGTAACCATTGTATCTTTTTCTTTATAGAAAACAAAATGTTGCTGCACTTAAGAAAAAAAAAAAAAAAGGAAAGAAAGAAAGAAAAAAAAAAGGATAATTTCTTCAAGAAATATGATTCTAGGAATTACTCATATACAGATTTCTGCAAATGTCACTATTCTGTTCCTTTTTTTTTTTTTTTAAACAAACAAACAAACAGACAGACAAAAACAACAAACAAATAAACAAAACACATGTTCTGGTTCTATGTATTTTTCCAAGGATATTAAACTTTCAGTGAAAACCTCCTATTAACCAAATTCTTGCTGTAACCTCAGAACAGCTTCTAAGGAAGAAACCTTATACAAAGACCCCATAGGAGATTTGACATCACAGTCCAGTCTGTGATAATAGGTATCCTGTTCTGCTGATTGTAAAGGACCTTAAAACACTCTATATTAGGGCTGTTTGTATGAAATTCCCCACAGCATGGGTGAGATATACTATGTTTCATGTAAAAAGAAGTTTCAAACAGCATAGCAAATGCTTGGCAACAATTATAAAGATTTTTCTGCCTGCAGCCTGCAGAACACATAGTCATTTTAACATTTTAAAAACCAGTAAGATTGTATGACAGCAGAAATCCTGATATTTCATTTTATAGTTCTGGTTATCAAGATAAGCATTTCATGAATGATAACTTTTTAATTTTATTTATTTATTTTTAATTAAGTTACCTGTTTTGCTATGGGATTGCTCATTTCCTTATTTCAAATTTTATTTCTCAAATTTTACCATAGTTTGATTCTTCCTGGCAAGTTATTCACTGAAATGTATTTCACTAACACAGAAATTTAGACATCTATAGATGAATACTGGGATTGTACAATTAGCTAGAATATAAAGATAAAGATGGAATATTTACTTAAGGTTAACTTGACTGTTAATACATGTATTATGTCAAGCTAACCTCTGGTTTAGTAGAGACTAATTGCACCAATGTGAGAAGTTCAGGATTTAGAAATAGCACAGACAGATGGGGACTGATTTAGGTTTTATTATATCTGTTTCTTGATAAGTATTTCATGCTCAAATAAAGGGAAAAGAATTTCCATAAGTAGAAGAACAGTCCTTCTTCTTGCTTAGAAATAAGCCTTTTATTCCTAAAAGTGTTGGGCAACTACCAGTTGCAGAACCCCTGAATATGAGTAGTTCGCTCCTGTGCTTCAGTAGAGAGCCTGAGTCCTCATCTTTCCTCTGGGAGGGACGAGGATTCAGCAGCTTTCTAGAATAAGCAAAATGTTTCATATTTTACTTTGCAGGCTTTTGGTATCTAGCAGCATGCATCTCTCTACAGAGTTCAGCATCCCTCAAGCAGCACCACTACTGCAATCTTCCAGCTCCATACCTTTCCACTTGCAAATATTGCTACATTGAGCTTGCAAGCATTAGTTATTATAAGCTACAATTATTACTTATTGTAAAATCAAATTATTTTGCGTTTATGTACTGACTGTTTTTTGTTGCTTTATTTTTAGCGTGCAACATTTTCCCTTCTAGAGGGATGTATGTTATTGCTAGAAGAAAACCACTTAACAGCGTTTACAGAGTTTCACTGCAGACACTATGGGTTCTAGTACACTGAAGACTTACTGATAAGACTGTAAAACTGCATTTGTCTGATCACAGACTATGGACTTAAAACAATAGTCCTATGGAGAAAGAAAGTTGTGTTATTTTGTTCTCTAATAATATTTTTTAATTTACAGTTTTATCGAGTCTGGTGAACTTCATTGCATTCACAAGTACTTTTACAGTGTGCTGGAACTAGAATAAGTGAAGCCACCTATTCTGACATGCCTACAAGCAGCTGTTTAAGCCTGCTCCCTTTCTTTACTGAGTTTGGTGGACTGTTTGAAAAGACAACTTGGCCCAGAGACAACTTGGTGTGTACCCAGGAGGCCAAAACTGCTCATTCCTTGAAATAAATCATTTTAGACAAGTGATTTTTTACTTCCAGTTTATAAATGCACATTACATTATAGTAGAACTTTCCACAGCATATTATTGCTTGTATTATACTATATTTAGTAATCAATGTAGAAAGGGAAGCTTAAATGTACTGTATTTTTTTCTTCCTGAAATCTGCACTGGATATCAAAATATTTTTTATGTCCCCCAGATTAGGGGGATTAAAAACACAGGTTGTTTTATGCCTAATCTGTTTGGCGGTCAGATACCAGTTTAAAAAATATCTGAAATGAATGTTTTGCAAGCTCTGTAGAGGTTTCAGAATGTGAAATAAAGATAGATGTTACAATCACTCTCTCTTTCTCTCTCTTTCTCTGTTTGAAAAGATAAATATGTTGACTTGTATAAAAATAATGCCTTAAATGGAAGTGAATTATCTTTAATTCTTCAAGCTCATATAGTTGGGAGTGTGAACAGGGGCTTGGCCCCTCCTCTGCTGTGTGAGGAGACAGACCATGGCTGATGATCTTAAATGAAGAATATGCCACATGAGACCACCTTCCAAAGATTAGAAGTAGAAACTAAACCAGATATTATTAGGAAATTGCTTTGCTTACTTATGCTAACAGGAATTAACTATTTTTGTAGTACAATGAGTGGTCATCAAATTTCTCTTACAAATAACGTGATTGCAGATTTAAAATTCAATGTTTTCCCGGTAATTTGACTTTAATCCACAAAGTGAGAAAATGCTTGGTTTTCTCATGGGCAATGATTACAGAATTGCACATGGGTAATCGTTACAGAATTCATGCTAAAATGCACATTTAGTTGAGCTAGAACCAAAACACATTCCAAATGATCAAACTTCAAATTCAGTTGTAGGATTCAGGGATCAATTCAGGTGTTTGGTAAGCAAAAGGTTATAATTGCTCATTATAATGGCCTTTTAAAACTTTGGTTTTAATTTAAAATACTGGGAGGAAAGGTTGATTTCTAAAAAAAATGTATTTCTGTGTATTTCAAAGCATTAGCAAGCAATAAATTAAACTTTACAACAGTTTTGCATATAATATTTTTTAATGGTGAGAGGCAGTGATTAAGGGATATGACCAGAATCACACAAGGTGGAATATGCAAAACTGCGATCATCCTCTAGATATCCTGACCTCCTGTCCTGAACTGAACAGAGCTAATTCTTTTCACAGAGAAACCTGTTTATTACTGCCAATAGGCACAACAAATATTGCTCCAGTTCCAGTTTCATACAGAAGACAAAACTTACCAGCTCTGTCTGAGACTAGTTATGTTCCAATGTATTTACAAAAGTAGCTTTTGCTATATTCCTTGACCTTTCCTTACTGAAGAATTTCTGATCACCTCTTCAGACAGCTACTGATTTTCATACTAAAACACAATGAACATGCAGAATCCTTGCCAAATTAAATTTTTAACGTTCAGTTGCAATTTACCATGAAGTTTTTGAGTCATCTCAACATTCATTCTTAAGCATAAACTGAAAAACCCCATTTACTGGAAATATCCTCTCAGAGATGAAATGACACATGCCAGATCCCTGACCTATAGGCATTTGATAAAATTAGGTGATGTCTCTGATGCAGTACAGCTTCTGGAAAAAAAAAAATAGAAAGAAAACACCAGTTGAAAATTTACCTCTGTCAAGTTCAGAGCAGAATAGAGAAAACACTGCTGATAAAGTTCACAAAGCAGAGAGCAGAATTTTAGAAATTGGACCAGTGACCCCACTGAGGATCTCTGGTCTCGCTATGATAAGTGGTGGCTGTGTCTCATCCTATGCTTTTGCTTCTAAACAGTTTAGAGTCTGCGGACACAACTCAACAGAGGAGTCTGGTTTGCATGTCTCATTTCTCTTTTTATTTTTTTATGGAAGCTTTGGCTCCCATCAGATTTATGACAGCGTAAACTGCATGAGGGTTTCAGTGTCTGATAGGCATCGACTGGATCATGGAGTTAATTCTGCAAACATGTTTCCTGTCTGCTTTCTTTCTCTGTGACATTCTTCAAAAGAGACATGGTTTTTTTTTGTTGTTTTTTTTTGTTTGCTTGTGTTTGTGTTTTTTTTTTTTTTTTTTTTTTTTTTTTTTCATCTGTTAAGTAGCAAAATCAAGTGACTCTGCTTTGAGGGCTGAGAAAGAGCAATTGCACAATTTTAGAGCAAGGAGTTATTTCAAATAAGAGACAATTAATTGTGAAAGAAGCTACACAGAGTGATGGCCCCAAGATAGCAAGAAATTAGATTTGCTAATTTAGGACATAACTGTCTTGTGTGTACAGACAGTATGGAAAGGCACTGGAATGTGAAATCATCCATATCTTGTTCAGGGTTGATCTGCATCAACTTCGATCCACTAGTTTATGATGGCATATTGATGACTACACAAGACAGGTGATGCCACCCTCTTGTTTCAAACAGACAAGAGCACATATAACAGCTGGCAGTAATTTGTATTCTTTTGGACATACATGGAGAAGTTGCTAAAACACTAAAACAGCATGAAACTTCAACCTCAGGGCTGACCAGTCCTGAGGTTTCCACGGTTTGACTTGAAGCACATTAGAGCTCCTTTGAAGCAAAGAATGGGAGAGACCCATTCTATGACTATGCTCTGTTCCTGTGCTGTATATCTTGGTGACATTTCGAAGTTATTTTTGGAGGAGGGAATAACTCCTTTTAGATTACAAGATAATTACTCAATGGATAGTAGAATTTGTTTTTTCTCATTCAGCGTTCATCTGTTTAGTTCCATAGTAAGTTCCATCTCTCTCTCTATGGATCAAGTATAAAAGTACACAAGTCTTCACTCTATCCCATTCTTTTGTTGTTCTGCCAGTAACAGAAAAGGTGACTTTGTTATCCAGAAAATCACTCTAAGGAATTGATTAGGTTGTATGGGATAAGCTCTCCATCACTAGTCTGCCAGCATCAAAGCACTGTTCCATTGTATTTTTTTTTTTGTATTTTTTTTTTCCCCTTTTAATCCCTCAAGTAGATGTCATGAAAAGGACAAACATCTTTGTGTCCATACTAAATAACAGATAGATTCATTTAGTGAAATTCGGAATTGCCTTGCAAAATTCTTATAAATCTACAATACACTAATTCATGATGCTGATACTTTTGAAAATTTTGAGTAGCATAAAACTGACTCTTATAAAAAGTCCCACATGCTCAAAAATATATTTGAGTGCTTGTATAAATATTAAATAAACTCTTCTAAAGGTGATAGTGCTCCTAGACATTGAATCTAATCTTCTTCACTTCAAGGAACCTGTTCTTGGACAGATATATTTCCAGTAAAACTAGAAATATTGAAGAGAGAAAGAAGGACTGAGAAAGCTCAGTGTAGGTAAAGATGGGCTTCAACTAATATTAGAGAATAGCTGATTTACTATGACTTTGCAAAGTTAGTGAAAGTGTGACTGTGTTTATTCCTAAAAGATGCCTGAAAGGGTTTCTCCTGATTCAGTGTTCCCTAATTTGTGACAAGGCCATCTACATGGCCTCTCACAGACATTTTATGGGTACAGAACATTAATCAGTTTCTGTTTTAATAAAAGATATGGAGTCAGAAAGTAAATAACATGCCTTATATCTCCTCCTGACATTTCATCCACCTATTCAACAGGTATTTATTGCCCAGTTTTTAGTTTTAGATGAGGAGAATTTTAGAGTGCAATGATCAGGACAATAGAAAATCAAAATCTTCACATAAGACAATCCACAAGTATTACGTATTCTTTAACAGATCTTCTGATAAATTGTTAGAATTGCACAGAGTCCTAGATATCCTTAAATACATTTAAATGCATTTACTAGGATCACAGAGGATATAAGCAGGTGTTTCTGCTTCTTTCAAAGCATCTGTAAGACACTGAATGGCTAGATGATTTTAAAGTTTCTTCCAGTTTTGGACATTACGAAAGATATAAAAACAGACAGAATGTTTCAGGCAATCTTGCTTATCTTGACATTGTACTCAAAATCAGAGTTATTAATGATAAAAAGACTTTCAAGGTTAACTGTTCAGTTATTAGTACATCAAAATGGTGGATCAAAAGAATATAAAAGTTATACTGTGTTATATATTGCTGTTCTTTGGAGGTATATTTGCAAATGGGGTAAGCTAGTCACACAAGTGAGGGTCTTGCTATCCAAAACCAATCCAGAAAAACAGATTGCTTCACATTTACCTTAATTCTCTGAATGCATTGACTGACCATTGATGATTTAATCTCTATTACTTTATTATTCACTGCAGAGAGATTACTCATATGCTTATTAACTGATGAATCAGAATATAATTCCATATGCCACACTATTCTAGTGCCTAATTTAAGAGCATATTTTGTATTTGCTAAGTGATTTCTGTTTATTGAAAGATTCCTCTTTGTGAAAACAGATGCCTGCTCTGCTCATCTTACCTCTCCAGTCATTTCTTGAGCATGTAAAATGTTCTGTGAGAATGTAATGGTGATCTTTTTGTCCTTATGAAGACACATGAGGGACTGACCATGGAGGGCATGGTGAATCACTGGTTGGCCACTCCTATCTGTTATGATATTGATGCAGTGCTAGGAAATCCTGAATCACATCTTTGCTCGAGTCTCAGCACTTCTGTTAACAGTGATGTTTTTTTTGCAGAATATCTCATCATCTCATCTTGCCTATCTAGATGATGTGCCTGTGAAATGGGAAACATCAGGAAAGAGTGAAGAGAAGTTTTTACAGATACTTCTGGGCACCATTTGGGCTGGGGTGTTTTAGAAATGGAGTTGGAAAAGAAAACTGAGCAAAGACAGTCCTGGAATCGGGAAATCAGTCTCTCTTCTGGCAGTTGAGGCCAACATTGCATCAATTCTGCTTGCAATGAAGACTGTCTGAAGACAAACAGTCCCCAGCAGGACAATCTCTTACAGACTCAGAGAAACATCTTTCTGCCTCTAGACTATTCTAGACTATTTTGTCTAGAATTGACAAAATGCCTTTTATTGTGATAGATCCCAAGAGATCTCACTTTGGATTCAGCTTTGTCTTAAGCTGACAGGAAGATGAGGCAGAAAAGAATCTGGAATTGTTTTGGTGACTTCTATTAATGCTTTATTTTCAGATTCTTAAATTTGTACATGACATTCATTTCTGAGTGACCTTGTAACCTTTACACTATTAGGGAACTTTTATTAACATATTTTACCTTGTGCACAAAGTCTGCAAGCAGAATTTTATGAAACAAGATGAGTACACTTTTTTTTTTTTTTTTTTTTTTTTTTAACGAGGTAATGTACATAATAGATAGCTAGGACTAAAAGATG